TCTCAAACAGAATTAGAAAACCCTTAACATCTGAGCTCATCATACAACCATTCCAAGAAAATTAGAAAAAAGCGATACCTGATGAATCCGCCAATTCTTCAAAGCAGCGTTCTTCTTCCATCTCCTTAAAAACAGTGATGGATAAAAATATGACATATAAAAGGGTAAAAACTCTGATGTGCCAAGCACAAGCCCGCTCAAAAGCTTCTAAAAGACGGGAACTTTAAAAAGAATTTTTGAAAATCTGAGCGAATGATATTGTGATAATAATAGAAAAAAACAGTGACAAAAAATGGTAAAAATTTTGAGTACAGTGAAAAATTCGGTAACAGAATAATAACGTACTGTTAAAATATTACTATTTTTGCCCAGCAATGCCAACTTATCTCAATTTCTCCTCAAACAAAGAAAACCTACCCCTGCTTATTTCCCCTTAAACAAAGAAATTCCACCTCCTCCGCCCAACTCAAAAAATTCGTGTTGCTCAACCTCACCGTGGTACACTAATTGATTTAGCAAATTTCCTTAATAACAGATAAAGATTAAGGCTGACCGGCTTGGGTAGTGGGGATTAATGTCTCTTTTGTGCTGAAAATTTAAGGTTAGAGTGCCCCACTACAGGCGAGTCCCCCTCACCTCCTCCCCCTCCCCCTGCCCCCCATCCCCCAGCAGTAAAGGCGCCAGTACTGCAAAAGCCCAGATCTAAAGCTAAAACTAAAGTAAGCTAAAGCCTAATGTCTAAATCAAAGTAACTCTAAGTAGCAGTGTGTTACAACTCCATTCCCAGTTTCTGCATAGTTCCAGGGTGGGAAGGGACTATTCTCCCCATTCTTCGTCGCTCCTCCTCCTCCTTCCTTCCCCCTTCCCTTCCCCCAAAGAGCCCCATTTCCCCCTCCTCCTTCCCCTCTTCTTCATTCCCTCTCCCTTACCCCCGCTGTCTTCCCCCAGTTGCATCCTGGGCACGCCTCAGCACGCCACTGGGATAAATAATCCCTCTACAAACCAAAAATTCATTCGTTTTGATGGTAAACTGGTACTGATGTATGTCAAAAGGGAGGAGGTGGGGTAAACCCGCCATCAGTTACCCCCTGAACAGTCTTCAAAAGAAGAAGCCATTGACAATCTTGTCAGCGAGAAGTTCCCGATAGCAGGTGTTACAACACTCGGACTGCTTTCGATTGCCTTCGTTTCTCATTCAGGGAGAAGTTTCTGATTTTCTAGAACCATCACAAGCGTGAAAAGGGAGAATTAAATGCCAAAATTAGCATAACAGATGTTAAGCACGACCAATTTTCCTTGAAACGCAAACGCCCCTGGATTTCGATGACGTAGCTTACCAATCAGGGGGGTTGCGTGAACTTTGGCTTCCAAAATCCCGGCTTTTTCCGGATTTAATCTAGCATTTTTTTTTGTAATTAAAATAAACACTTTAAAAAAATAAACATTTTAATTAAAGCTGAAAAGAAGGGAAACAAACATCATCATGCATTGAGGTTGTAATATTGGATATGGTTGTTAGCGCTTCACTGATATAACTCTCGATCAGTTTGCCCAATTGCCGAACTTTTTCTCGTTCCGGAAACATGTCCTGAACTGGCAGTTCACTTTAACTGCATAAATAAGCGGCAGAAAACTTTAAAATATGTATAAATACAGGGTATTTTTGTTCAAAAATACGATTTTCCTGAATTTTCACATACAGACAAGCAATTATGTCCAGTAGAGAGTTTTCAAAAACTTTCCTGAACGCTTTTGGGCCCGACAATTTTCTGCTTTCCCCCTCGCCCCTCGCTGTCCCCCTCCCCCCTCAATTTTTCCGTACCAATACCTTAATTTTCCCCTTCGTTAGCCATTCATCTTGTTACCTTGATTTTGCACGTTATTGCTGTAGCTCGTTTTTATTTTAAATTTCATTCCTTTCAGTTTCTAATCCTAAAGTTTCCTCCCAGGAAAATAAAGGAAGAAAGACAAACAATAAGGACCATTAAGTCAATTTCTGTCAGACAAAAAAAACTGTCCAAAAAATGGAACCACCGTTGAGAAGACTACTGCTTCAGAAATTTTAAAGACACAAACAGTGAATATCCCTGGTTGGGAAATTACAAGAGGACGGGGTCTGAAGCCTACTAAGGTCCAAAAAATACTAAAGTTCAAAAAATAAAACGACTGTCAAAGTAAGCATGAATCTGTCAAGAAAAAATCAAAATAAAAAATCTAAAAAATCACAGGACATCCCTTTTATATCAATACCATGAATACCAAGACCGCTCGTACTGTTAGTCTGGGATTCACTTGTTAGTGATGTTACTAGGATGCTTCCACATGCCAAGCGCATCTGAGAGATTCATTTCAGCTATCAAAAATAAAAACAATTTTTATAGGGTTGTGAAAACTTACCGGGAACTTGTAGCTCAACCACAAATAAAGATCTATTAGATTGTAGAGTTTGCATAAATCCAGCAGCATGGTAATGCTGGTTGGTCGAGGCAGTGGCCATTGAATGATTTCACAGAACCAGTTGTAATTGATTGCTTGGCCCTCCGAAAATCTAAACAAATTTCTTTTTGAGTAAATTCTTTGATATAACATTTTAAAACATTTTATAAAATTTTAAATTTTTTTTGCGACCCGAAAATCATTACTTCAAAACAAATTCAAACTAGCATACTTCAAAATAAGTAAATTCCCTTCAAATAAGTTCTTTGGATACAACATTTTACAACGTCTTATAAAATTTTAAATTTTTTTTGCGACCCAAAAATCATCACTTCAAAACAAATTCAAACTAGCATACTTCAAAACAAGTAAATTCCCTTCGAATAAATTCTTTGGATACAACATTTTACAACGTTTTATATAGTTTAAATTTTTTTTTGGCGACCGAAAAATCGTTATTTCAAAATAAAACTATTTCCTATTAAGTCAAGCCCGCAAAAATTTGTCGCAAAAACGCACAATCGTTGTTTTTCCGTTAATTTGTTGCATAGATCAAGAAAGGGTTCCGAGCTCTCAAACAACATTGACTTACCTTCGAGCTATTCGAACGAAACATGCCCGTGAAATACCATTATCAAATTCCATATCAACTGGGGCAGTACAAAACGCATATCTTACCTGCAACAAAACCCACAACAGTTCTAACAGGCTGAATGAAACATGCTTTGCCCTTCAAAATGTTAAAAATGGTAGTGAAACTTTCTTTCAATCATTCAATATCCTCCAGGAACCGCAGAATTTTGTGATACTCCGTAAAGGCAGCAAGCCTAGTCAGCTTAGTTCCTCGTTAGCACGATGCCAATTTAAACTTTAATTTTTACATGTGTCAGACCTACGAGTGCGTGAAGGCTAAATTTGAAATCTTTGGATCGAAGCAAGAAATACTTTCGTGAAGTTTCAGCCTTCCAGCTTGTGCAATTCCCGAAGTCGCTTTCCCACCAAAAAATCTCCTATGTGCTCGTGCGTGAGAATCGACAATATGCGTTTTTGCATTGCACAAATGTAAAAAAAAAATATTAAAAAGTACAACCTTCATGCTCAGTGGAATATCATCGATGAGTTCAGCCAGTTTCCGGAATTGCTCGATATCACATAAGTGGAAACTCTTGCTGAGTGAACTGATTGAGATGAACATATCGATAATACTAAGGAATGAAGCATGAGGCAGATGATAGGAGAATGTTTCCAACTGGAAAAAGTACTATTTTATCGCTTTGTGAACAAAAAATCATCAAAAAAAAAGCAGTATTTACTGAAAACCAGTCTAAGCTTATAAAAAAACGATGCAGAAAACAGATAAAATGCAGAAAATTGGAGAAATATTTTAGCTTTGCCAAATGAAAGATATGCGATGATAAAACAACGGCCGAACAAAAGATCTAAACATATAAATAGCCAAGTTTGAAGATTTAAACTTTCCCAGCGAACCGAAAAACCGAAAAAAAGCCAACCTGCTCGCAAGTCGGTGCAATGCCAGCTGTTTCGATGGGCTTGATCGGTTCCCCCATAAATGCTCTTAGCAGCGGCATATCCAATGGTCGTAGGGTTGTAACCTTAAATGTGCTACAATTACAATGCATGGTCTCCACTTTTGGGCAGCTGGGATGAATCCAGGCTCAAAGAGGGCAAAGTACTGAGACCTAGTTTTTCCCTTCATACACACACATACCACACACACACACACACACACACACACACACACACACATACACATACACATACACTGCATTGTATAGCCCATATTTTGAGTTTTTTCGCTCACTATTTAATGCTTTCTGATACAATTCGGCATAGTGCGCAACGTCATGTGGACTATATCTAGGTTACTAGTGAAAAAATGCCTAGCCAGGCCATAAATAAAGGGTGAGTTCGGGTATTAACAGGTAGACAGACAGCAGTATAGCTTCAAGAAGTTCATGGTCATATTGAGACCCTTAAAGAAATTATCTTAGCTCATTACTCGTAAACCGGCATTACCAACCAATGGTCAGGTGACAGTGATCTGTACATTGGACAAAAATACGACGTTGTGTTTTTTCAGCATGTCCCGAACTGTTAGGATTTATACCTCGATGAGTCTCGGCACTGTCTAGCTCGTTACTATTAACCCATGATGAGACAGCTGTGTCGAAAGAGAATGAAATACCAAAAAAAGAGGTAAATCAAAGTATTAGAAGTCCACTCTCACTCCATCTAATCTCACTATCCGATCGATTTTCATTTTGCTTCTTTCCTGTCGTCTTTCTCTTTTCTTTTCTTTTTCCACTAAGCACTGCGACCGTCGTATTGACGAGGTCCTGTCGCGCGGTGTTCAGTTTGAGATGTATATGACTTAATGGACCGAAACGTCTTATCGCCTCTCATACTGCATTGCTATAGCGTCTTCGTCATTTAGGCTTCCAGTGTCAACCTGGTTGCTACAATCTGTTTAGAAAAAAACAAAACTGACCCAGCCTTTTTCGTATGCAGACTGAAAACGTCCGGCACGACCAGCAACCTGTAGTACGTGAAAATTCGCTTGATGCTCACCGAATGGAAATTGCACAAATATCATCCTAAATTAGCTCTTATATGACTTAATTGGACCGAAATGTCTTATCTCACTTTTACCTTCTTTGCTCATACTGTTCTTTCATGCTGTAATCTATTGCACCTTCGAATCTTTCCAGAAAACTCAAAATGACAATGTTTTGATCACGGCAATTGCAATATCTCATATCTTCCGAGAATTAAAGATAGGAATCTCTAATAAGTGCTGAGAGACAAATATCCATGGCATACCGATTGGAAGGATTTTTTTTTTCTTCATCAGCCACCATCGAAATGGAGCATAACGATTTCAAATACTTTAGTACTTTACTGGCTGATTTCCACAGAAAATTTTAACAGCCCCCCCCCCCCC